CCCTCCCTCCCTCCCGCCGGCTGGCCCCGCGGCCGCGTCTCTGCCGGCCGGGAAGGAGGCGGGGAGGCCGCGCGGAGCCGCCGAGCTTCCCTGCGCTCTCCGGTGCCGCTGCGCCCGGGTGTGGGTGGGGGTCCCTCGGCAGGTGGACCCCGGCATAGGCGGGTAGGTGGCTTCCTCCGGCCCGAGCGAGTGGCTGCGGCCGGCCGGCCCGGAGGGGAAGGCGCCGCGCTGGGCCCAGACGCAGAGCCGAGTCCCGGTTCTTGCTTTGGGAGAGCAGCCCTCTAACCAGGGTTAGTTGATCGTAGTTTGTGCTGCTCGCTCGTCTGTCTCCCAGCGTCGTCATCTGCTTAATTTATGCGTCTCTTCCTCCCTCGGCTCCCTCTTTCCTTTCCCTCCCACTCTTTCTTCTCTCTCTCTCTCTCCCTCCCTCCCTTCCTGCATCCGCCCTTCTTGCAAACTCGCATCTCGGCCCTGCCTCTTTGCTGCGCTCTTTAAATTAGACCCCCGGGGGGGGGGGCGAGTGCCCCAGGCGCCTCCCTGACCCCCTTGCAGGATGGCAATGAGCAGCACGGGGGGGGGGAGAAACCCCTTCCCCTTCCCGAGACCTTCTCCTTTCCTTCTTTCCTCCCCCATGAATGCAGGGCTCACAACCAGCCTGTCTCTGGGGAAGCCAGCCCCCCCCCCGTCACCCAGTCCCTGCAGTTGGCCCTGGCCCAGCCCCTCTTTCCGCCCAATCCCCCCCCACCTCCCCAGTTCTCTCTCCTTGTGGGGAACAATAAAAGGAGACCTGGCTCCTTGCTAGCCCCTCCCTTGGGCCTGCTCTCCCAGGCCCTGCGTTCTGGGGTCCTCTGGGGGATGAGGCTGTGGGGTCAGCCCTTAAGCAGGAGGTGGTTTGGCTTGGGGTTATACCATTCGTGCTGCAGATTTTGCTCCCAAGACACACAGCTCTTATGTGGACCACATCTGTGTCCATGCTTTGAGTTTAATTCTCATAATGATCAGAACATAAACAAATGCTCCAGTGGGCCCGGAAATGATGCAAGTAGACTTACGATGCGTCTCTCTTAATAGCCACAATTGGAACTGGCAACTCCATTGCTAAGCAGTGTGGTCGCTAACCAACGTATCACTTTATCGCAACTTGTGATTTTTCCAATTCGATGTCTTTGCATGCCAGCAGCCCATTGCCAGATGTCAATCAGGTGACCATGGGATGCTGTGTTGGTCGTAAGTGCAGGGACCAGCTGTAAAGTTACGTTTTCAGTGCTGTCGCAACTTCAGATGGTCACTTAAACAGTCGATGTAACAGTTAAGTGAGAACTGTACGTTATTTGGCAGTTGTGATTTCCTGAGTGAGGGAAGGATGACTGTAGTTGCCTTCTGGCAATGAAATTTTGGCTGGCTGGTGTGGATGGCGATGCTCGGGCTTCTGGCTGGTCTTTGGACATGCCCAGAGAAGCGCTGGCTCTCGTGGTTGAGCTTGGTACTGTGTGGCTGGTGTGTCTCTGGGCAAAAGCCTGTATTAGAAGAAGCTAAGTTTCCCTTCCTCTCTCCTTCCTGCAGGTGCTGCAGCTCTGCTGGATGGTGCAAGGCATGGAACGGTTTGCCAGCTCCGGGACCCAGACGGAGGCAGTGGTGGTGCTGTCGCTGGCCCAAGCCGCTGTCTTGGGTCTGGTAACCGAGAATGAGTTCTTGGGAGGCACGGTCAATCCAGACAGCATTTTCTCCAGCTTGGCAGGAAAACTGGATGACGCAGCAGCAGCAGCAGCCGCCGCCGAACTGAAGCAGCCCGAAAGCAGCAGCCCAGCTGGCCCATCCCAGGGGGAGCCCCTTGAGGAAGAGGAGGGCCTGGAGGCAGAAGCCCCCTTTGGGAAACAGGCCCGGAGGAGGAAGCGCCCCCCTATGCGCCTGGTGCCAAACGTGAAGCACGAGAGGGGCGAGATGGAGGAGGAGGAGGAGGAGGGCAGTCCAGAAGCGCCCGCCGGAGGTCCCGAGGAGCAGGTGGAGAGCAGCAACCCAGAGGAGCCCTGTCCTGAGCCAACAAGGCAGAGTGGCACCGGCAGGATGGCAAGCCTCAGCCCCTTCAGCAGGCGGCCTCAGCCAGGGCAGCCTCCGCGGAGGCCCCCGCAGCAAGAGCATTCCTTGGGAGCCTACGAGGAAAGGTTCCCCAGCCCACCCCAAGCCGGCCCGGACAGGGCAGAAGCCTTTCCCAGCGGCTGCAGTTTCCCAGCCGGCCTGCCGTCCCTGAGTGGCATGGAGAGCCAGCTGCCAGCCTCTTCCCCAGAGCAAGGCAAGAGTGGGGCAGGCTTCGCCTGGCAGGAGCCCCTGGACTTTGAGGCGGAGGTCCCCGGTGAGCACAGCAAGAAGGTGCACATGGACCGCCTGGACATCAATGTCCAGATTGACGATTCCTACCTGGTGGAGAAGCGCTGGCAGTGCCGTCTGTGCGAGAAGTCCTATACCTCCAAGTACAACCTGGTGACCCACATCCTGGGGCACAACGGCATCAAGCCCCACTCCTGCCCACACTGCAGCAAGCTCTTCAAGCAGCCCAGCCACCTGCAGACCCACCTGCTCACCCACCAGGGCACCCGGCCCCACAAGTGCCAGGTGTGCCACAAGGCCTTCACCCAGACCAGCCACCTCAAGCGCCACATGCTGCTGCACTCGGACGTCAAGCCCTACAGCTGCCGCTTTTGTGGCCGTGGCTTTGCCTACCCCAGTGAGCTCAAGGCCCACGAGGGAAAGCACGAGAGCGGGCGCTGCCACGTCTGCGTGGAATGCGGCCTGGACTTCTCCACCCTCACCCAGCTCAAGCGCCACCTGGCCACGCACCAGGGGCCCACACTGTACCCGTGTCCTGAGTGCAACAAGTCCTTCCACTACCGCAGCCAGCTGCAGAACCACACCCTCAAGCACCAGAACGTGCGGCCCTTCGTCTGCACCGAGTGCGGCATGGAGTTCAGCCAGATCCACCACCTCAAGCAGCACTCGCTCACCCACAAGGTAGGCCGGGCCCACTGGGGTCACGCGGGGGTCCAGCAGCCTCCTCCTGCCCCGGTGTCCTGGCTGGAGCAGCTGAGGTCAGCCACAGAGCTTTCCAGGGCTAGCCAGGCCACTGTGGCCGCTTCCGTCTCTTTCAGGGCGTGAAGGAGTTCAAGTGCGAGGTGTGTGGGCGAGAGTTCACGCTGCAGGCCAACATGAAGCGGCACATGTTGATCCACACCAGCGTGCGCCCCTATCAGTGCCACATCTGCTTCAAGACCTTCGTGCAGAAGCAGACGCTCAAGACCCACATGATTGTGCATTCGCCTGTCAAGCCATTCAAGTGCAAGGTAGGGCTGGGACGGGAGGAGGCCAAAGCTCCATATCTCATGTGTCTTCCCCCCCCCAGCTGCGTTTGGGGCCCTGGGAGGGGCTCTGGACTCGGCCAGGCAGACCTGAGCTGGCCAGCCTGCCACCCACACATTGAGCCCCGCCCCGTCTTCTCTGTCTGCAGGTGTGTGGGAAGTCCTTCAACCGCATGTACAACCTCCTGGGCCACATGCACCTGCACGCCGGCAGCAAGCCCTTCAAGTGCCCTTACTGCTCCAGCAAGTTCAACCTGAAGGGGAACCTCAGTCGACACATGAAAGTCAAGCACGGCGTGATGGATATCAACCTGGACAGCCAAGGTGGGCAGTGGGGGAGGGGGAGAGCACCTGAGAGGGGAACCCCAGATGCTGTTTTCCCTGAGGTAACCTGGCATGTTTGCATTTCTCCCCAGATCCCATGCTGGAGCTGGCAGGCACCAATCCCTCAGAACTGGACGGGCAGCAGGAGATGGACGACTACGAGGAAAACGCCTACGACTATGGGGCAGTGGGGAACCCCAGCGGTGGCTCTGCCTTGGCAGAACAGACCATGAAGGAGATAGCCTACTACAACATGCTATAGTTGGAATGGGAAGGGCCTGGTTAAGGGGGGGGTGGAGGGGGTTACCCCCCCTAAAGTGGGCTGCACAGAACAGGAGAGGAGCCCTGGGAGGAGCCTGCTGGACCTGCGGCCCTTGCTCCATTACAGCCTCTGCGGCCCTCCCAGCCGCCTCTTGACCAGGTGTGGCTCTAGCTGGGGGTTCCAGCCTTGCGGGACTCCGCTTGCCTTACTCTACCTCCCACACTTGGCCAGGGCGACCTTTAAGACCCAGCCCAAGTCGTGGCCGAAGCGACTGGGGGGAGGGAGGCTAAGGACTGGACCACAAGCGCTCGCCTCCCACCCACGTTGCAATCTACCTCTGCCCTGCACTCTGAAAGAGCAGCCTGGGTCAGGAAGCCTCCCGATTCAGTGGACTCCAAAGCGCCCCCTCCCCTTACTTGGCAGAACGGTCAAGGCGCGCCCTGCACAGTCTGTGGCCATGTTCTATTCCTGGGGCGTTGCCACAAAGTGGATTGCCCCTTTTGTGCATAGAGCTACTGTGTTTATTTTCCAGTTCTGAAGAAGTTCAGCAATAAATGAATATTGTTTGGCAGACGGACTGGGTGGTGCCGCCGGAGCAGTGTGGATGTGTTGCACGGACTGACTGTCGCACTAAGGGAGAAGCCATCATTTAATAGCTCTCTTTGGCACCCAAGGCCGTGCCCACGGCAGTTACAGCACTCAACCAATTTCTTCTCTGCTTGCAAGATCTGCAGTCACAGAATGGGGAGGGGAGCAAGGTGGTCTCCTTCCCAAGAGCGGCCCAATGGCCTCACAAGCTTTAGAAACATGCCAAAAAGGACCCCTGTTGAACGGGAGCAGCCATCCGTGCGCGCTCAGAGTCCCTGTCAGCAGGGTCCCTGCTGCCGCAGCTCCTCCTCCCTCTCCTACTGCTTGCTCAGGGCTCTATCCAGGTTGCTCTTGATGGCGTCCAGGAAGTCAGTGGTGTTCACAAAGTGCTCGTTTAACTTTACACTGCAGGGAGAGAAGAGGCACACGACACGGTCATTCTGGGGAGTGCAGGGCTTCCGGCCAATGCGTCCCAATCCGAGCCAGGGCTCACTTGCTTAATCCATGGATGCAGCCAGCCAGATCCTTTGTCATTGTCCCGCTCTCCACCGTCTCCACGCAGACCCTCTCCAGAGTCTCGGCAAACCTGGTGAGGGAGGGAGGGAGGGGAAGGCTGAGGGAGAGAACAGAGCCCCCCTCGGTCTGGGGAGAGACTTCCCACAGCTGGCAATGCCAGTGCACAAGGCCCCCTTGGCTCCTCCCCAAGAGGGCAGTGGGCTGCTCTTACTTGACCAGCTGTGGGTTGCTGTCCAGCTTGCCTCGATGCTGCAGGCCTCTGGTCCAGGCGAAGATGCTGGCAATGGGGTTGGTGCTAGTGGGACGGCCCTGAGGGAGAAGTGCAAGCAAAGAGCATGGGCTCTGCGGACTCTGGCGGCCTGGCCACCCACATCAGTGCCCCCCAGGACTTCCCTGCCCTCCAGGCAAACTCACCTTCTGGTGCTCCCGGAAGTGGCGAGTCACCGTGCCGTGAGCAGCCTCTGCTTCGATGGTTTTTCCATCCGGACAGACGAGAACCGAGGTCATAAGTCCCAGGGAGCCAAACCCTTGGGGCAAACCCAAACGTTGGTCAGACAGGGTCCATCTGACCAGGAAGGAGGGGGGGCCCTGCTCCCTTTGCCCACCAGCATCCCGAAACCCTGCGCAACTCCCTAGAGGCACCCAGGGCACAGCTGGCACTGTGGTAAACGCAGCAAGGGCATGCTGTGCGAAGAGAAAAGCCCCCTCCCCCCAGGAAGCTGGGAGGTTCGTAGCTGGTCCCCCCCCCCACTTCTTTCCCCAGGAAAAAGCTTTGTGGTCCTTAGGAGAGGGGCCCCCCCGAGCCCAAGCTGCTTCCCCTGGAAGGTGCCACCCCAGCCTAGCTGCACCAGCTGAAGGGGGGAGGGACCACTCTTGCCAGTTGCTAAGGGCTCAGGATGGGGTCCTCAGCACCTTGGTCCTGCTCTCTCACCCCCAGTCCATCTGCTGGTTGTGTGCCCTGGGTAGGGCCAGTAAATACCTTGGGCCAGGATGTCCGATTGGACATCTCCATCGTAGTTCTTGCAGGCCCAGACGAAGCCGCCAGCTGATTTCAGCACCTGGGCCACCATGTCATCAATGAGCCTGTGCTCGTACCAGATCTTGAGCTTGTCAAAGTCGGTCTTGTAGTGCCTGACAGGGAGGAGGACAGGAACCCTCCTCAGACAGGGACAGCGTCATGCAAGGCCGATCCTGGATAACGTCCAGGGCAAAGGGGCACCCGAGGCCTGGTAGGCAGGCTCTGATGCCCCTGTTGAAAGCGCCAAGGGGGCTGCTTCCACCCCACGGTCCCATTGGGCTAAATAGCTCACTTATCAAAGACTTCCTGGAAGATATCCTTGAACCGCCCATCGTAGGCCTTGAGGATGGTGTTCTTGGTACTCATGTAGAGCGGCCATTTCTTCTGGATGGCGTACTGGAAGCAGCTGTGGGCAAAGCCCGAGATGGACTGCAAAAGGCAGGCCGAGTGCTCAGTGGGGCGGGCCTGCAGGAGCTCCCCTCCCTCCCTCCCTCAAGGGAAGGTTCAGCAGGCCAGACCCCCGTGAGCCTGGGCATTCCCCCAGGGAAAGTTGCGCCTATGCCAGTCCTGCCCTGCCCCCTCTTCCTCCTCACCTCATCCGTGTTGTACATGCCCAGGCCGACACCCCCGCCTGGGAAGTTAAAGACTTCCCACTCCTTGGCTCCACTGCCATCTTTGGGCACGAAAACCATCTTGAAGGTCCCTGATTTATCCACCACAAAGTCCGTGGCTTTGTACTGAAAAGCAGGGCCCGAGAGGTTATTACAGCCAACCCTCCTCCCTACAAGATGCAAAGGCCCTAAAGAAACCAAGATCAAAACCCATCTGGGGTAAGCAGTTAAACCCAGTTAAAAACAAGGAAGTTTTCAAAAACCACATGTTTAGGCACAACAAATAAGTAATGCTTTGCAAAATGAAAAATCCGGGAGGATCAACCACTGCTCACTTCCCCACCCAACCCTGCTGAGGGGAGCCCCAGAATGGCCTGGCTAGAAAACGGGCCTTTTCCTCCCATGTTCAGCCTTCAGAGCAGCTGTGGAAATTCCTCAGCTTCGGTTCCCCCCCCCCCAGTCTTTGTAACCTCTGGTCTAATGCCCATCCCCCACCCTGCTAGGACGTGTCCTGTCTGTGGCTTCTCTCTCCTGTCCTGTCCTTGTCCCAACTGTTTGCTGAGCTATAATTCAAGGTTATCGTCCCACAGAGGAGGTGGCCCCACCGGGAAGCTGTGACTGGGAGGATTATTATCGTCACACTTTTTAATATATTGGAGCCTGGATTCAGATATTCATTCCGGAAAATGTTTTTGGATCGGATCAGCAGATTATATCCCATTCACATTCACTTAACGACTTCCAGGTCCTGTAAACGTTCCAACTATTAAACCCTGAATAAAGTGCAGAAGTTTCCTCTGTTTAAATCGTTAGCAACTTTGCTAATTCTCTTAACTTCCATAGGTGGCTTTTCAAGTAGAAAAACTCCCGGCGCCCACAGACATCCCGACAGGCCTTTCCTTCCATGGTCTCAAATGGGTCCTGGGAGCTGCACCAGGACACCCAGCAGCAAGAGAACTGCTTTCTTTGGGTGGCCTGGCAGCAGGGCACCCCTCCCCCCCTCGCAAGCCCACCTGGTCACCGTGGGCATGTCTCCCAATGGTGATGGGCTTCGTCCAGCCTGGGACCAGGCGAGGGATGTTCTTGCAGACGATGGGCTCTCGGAAAACCGTCCCACCCAGGATGTTCCGGATGGTACCGTTGGGGCTCTTCCACATCTTCTTCAGCTTGAATTCTGCAGGGGTCGCAAGGGAGACACGTCTGGCATTAGGGCCAGGGTGACTTGCCCACCCCCTCCGACCCCAGCGGCATCCTCTGGGTCCACCACCTTGCTCAGACAGATGCCCCTGGGTGGAGCTTCTGCCTCGCCTGGTCGCACATACCTTCCACACGGCCCTCATCGGGGGTGATGGTGGCGCACTTCACAGCCACGCTGTACTTCTGGGTGGCCAGGGCCGAGTCGATGGTGACTTGGTCCTCCGTCTGGTCCCGGTGGGGCAGTCCCAGGTCAAAGTACTTCAGCTGCACGTCCACGTTGGGCAAGATCAGCTGCAGGCGGCAGACAAGAAGCCGTCAGGACCAGACACCCGTTTGCCCGCCTCACCTGGGCAGTCTCTCCTATCGCCAAGAGAGGCAGTGTGCGTGCGCTTCCTCCTCTGCACGTTTTATGGGCAGAGATCACTTTCAAGCCCTCGGGGCACACTATTCTGCAGGGACGGAGGGGAACCTGACACTGCTCTCCTCTGCGAGCCTCTGCCTTGCGTGCGCAAAGGGTTTGTGGCATCGCCTGGGCTGCCTAAGATGCACGCAGGAAGCAACAGGATGCCTCAGGATTCCCCATCTCAAAGCTTCAAATCCGGCTCTCCCCGCTTCTCCTTCGCTTCCTCCTCTGTGCAAGCACTCCCACCGCCCACCCCGGGCTCACGGCCACCGTCACAGTCTCAGTGCCAGGTACCTTTTCCTTGATGAAGGCCCAGATGATCCGGGTCATCTCATCCCCGTCCATTTCCACCACAGGGTTGGCAACCTTGATTCTCTGGTCAGCATCTGCAGAGAAGAGGGGATCAGAGGTGGCAAGGCCCTGGCCCCTCCCTGCGCCCCAAGTATCCGCCCTGGACAACCCCAGGCCCCTTCACGGGGGCAGCAATGCCCGAAAGGCCCATTTTGGAAGCGTCCCATTTGTGAAAAGTGGTTAGAAGGGCAGGTTTGTGAAAAGTGGTTAGAAGGGCAGGTTCACGTTCCCCAAGAGGACCAGGCTCCTCTCTCCAACCAGCGGCTGCTTCTGACATACTGCCCTCTGCCCACCCCACCCGCGGAGGTGGGCCAAACTTTCCGGGGGGGGCTTTTGA